CCTGCCCCGGGCTGCGGTGCCCGGCGGAGGCCAGGGCCGGCGGCTGGCTGCAGTGCTATCGTTGAGGGGCGATTCCCCGCTGGAATTGGAGAGGGTGTTGTAACCAGCAGCGGCATGGAAAAACCTCTGCCAGGTCAAGGGACAGTGGGGGTGAACGCGGGGACCAGCGTTGGGGCAGCCCCTGCGCTGGACAGACCGTCCAGCCCCGGGGGTGAAACGGTGTTCATGGGGCTGTGGGTGCACTGAGCACAGATTGCTTATTTCTCCAGGCCTTCCTGCCTTTCTAGTCTGAACGGGTTGGAGCTGCCTGGTGCTCCTGGAAAAACTTTTGGCCATGAAAAACCAGGTTTAAAGCATGGACAATTTATCCAGGTCTTTTTGGCTGTCTAGATGGCAACCTTCCAGTAGCTGAAAGGGGCCTACAGGGAAGCCAGGGAGGGACTCGTCAACAGGAACTATAGTGACAGGACAAGGAGTAATGGGTGCAAACTGAAAGAAGGGAAATTTTGTTTAGATATTGGGAAGAAATTCTTTACTGTGCAGGGAGTAACACTGGAACAGGTTGCCCAGGGAGGTCGTGGATGTCCCAATCCTGGCAGTGTTCAAGGCCAAGTTAGTAAGGCCTTGGGCAACCTGGTCTAGTGGTTGGTATCCCTGCCCATAGCAGGGGGAGTTGGGACTAGATAATCTTCAAAGTCCTTTTCAACCCCTTAACGTTCTATAATCCTGTTACCTACTGCACACAGAGGTCAGTTCCACATTAAAATGTATACAGTGACCCTTCATTAGATTGCAGTTTCTCTCAGTGGAATGAACAAGGTTAAGATAATTGCTGCTGGAAGGAGGATCTTCCATCACCCTTCCCTTGTGCGTGGAACTCTTTTTAGGGCTGATTGAACACACCAGTCTGACAGAAGGCTGGTGGATTGCTCATAGGGGGTCCTGACACAGACCGGGGTCCTTTCCAAGGAAGGGAGATGAGACCTCTCCTGACTAGCTCAATTACTTGTAGAAATGTAGCTTGACTCGGTCAAGTCTTATTTAGAACAGTTACGTGCCGTTGCAGGAGACTTGTAATTCAGGAGTTTGTTGTTTTGTTTGAAGCCTGGTGAAATTCTGGTTTTGCTTTCAGCACGCTGCTGGCTGATAAACCCAACTTCTGTGCTGAGAAGCATGCTAAATGAATTTCTCTCTGGAGTGTGGGAAAAAGCTACTGTGGTTGTTTTTGCTTTTATGGTTTGATGTTGTTTGCCATTCTTCTTCCTAATGATAAAACTGTGCAAGTTGCTCTTTCTGATGGGTGACATATGTTGGGTTTCTATCCAAAGATGCTTTTGGTCCACGTGCTACAAGTGGGGAATTCCAGGGCCACCTAAATCTGGGTCAGAAGTTACACAGAGAAATTCCCCATGGAAAAATTTGAATGTCGCTGTAGTTCATCACACAAATACCAGGTTGCTAAGGAATGTTTCAATCCACAGACGATTTACTGTCTGAAATTAATTTCCTAAAGAAGGCAGAAGTTAATCTGTCCAACCAGTCATACAAATCTGTATGTTTGGCTTGGTATTTCTGCTATTGTAAGGGTGGGGGGAAGTTTGTAGACCTACTCATTTATTTTTTTCTAAATCCAGTGTTTTTAATGATGTTGTATAAAGGTTTTGGAATTCAGTTACATTTATAAAACGTAATTATGTAATTTGGTAAGTGGGGTTGAAATGGAACAGGACAGTTTTAGTTGGATCATGAAGCCTTTTTGTGTATGTTCTTTGTATTCTTAGGAGTGTGAAAATCTTCAGTGTTTGTCCTGCAATTTTGATGGAAAGTGTTATAGTAAGCATTTTCTGCATTGCTTTGCAGTTCTTGCTGTCAGGCATGCAAAGCTGCTTTTCCAGCTCCCTAACTGGGAAGTAAAATCCTCCCTGGTAAAGGAGATGGACCAGAGCAAATATTTTCTGCCCTGTGCATTTCCATTTACCAAGAGATGGAAAACTGTCATTTTAGTTTTGTAGTTATTATCCTCTTAACACATGAGCAGAACTGATCTTTGTGCTGCTGCTGTGGCTAAAAGCTATGACTACAAGTTGGAAAGAGAGAGCTGCTCACAAAAAGGAAAGCTGAAGAGTGGAGGGATGAAATTATCATCTTCCTGTCATCCCATTATTTTTAGCACTGGGAAAAAGATGGAAGAGAAACGTTGCTTTGAGAGCATGAGAGGTGCTTCAAAACTACATTCTCCTCACAGAAAATGAGGTTTCTGAATGGCATCTGTGGGCTTACAGGAAACCCATTAGTTAGAGTTATTAGACCTTTTCTCTGGGACATTGTCCCTAGTTGTAGTGGTGGCTGCTTCTACCTCCTGACCTCAGTTCTGAGTAAAAAAGCTGGCAATTTTTCTAAAGTGTCTTTTTTTCCAACAAGCATAGATAATATGTGAACAGGCAAAAGCACATAAGCATGGTTGTCTTAAACCTTCTGACTGTCATGCTGTGACAGGGAAGTTGGGATTGTGAGGGAGGGTCCCTCTGGGGCAGGGCAGCACTATTGTGAGCCAGCTTCCCTTTCATTGCTGGGAGTGTAATCCAGCCTGGAGGCTCATGTTTAGTGTGCCTGCAGCAAGAGAAGGGTCAAGTCCTGGACACCTTACTAAAGGGGGCTCCTGCACCACCACAGGCCCCCAGCCCCGCTCATTTCCTGAGGGGCTCTCAGGGCTCACTGCACCTGTGCCAGCAGCAGCAAGTGGCACAAATAGCGAGGGGATGTGCGCTAGGAAAACTGTAAAGGGAGGGGATCGGTCCCGGGGTTTTGTTCATCCCAGATCTGGACTGTACTCAGTGGCAGGACCGATGCGGGATGTAAGGGCTGGTGGTCTTTTTCCTTCACTTTATTTTCCGTCTTTACTCTCTCTTGTTCTATCCCAGCCGGTGTGGCAATCGGATTTTACCACTTGCTCTGTACTGAAGTTTGCTGGGAGAGTTGGGAGCTTGGTAAAGTTCACTGTAAGAGTTAAGAGCTGGTTGGCCAACACTTCTTTGACTAAACAGTGGGATAGCTGTCGGAGTTAAGGTGGCTGTGTAATAAAGGGTAAGAGTTCCCTGACACTGGACTGCTGTCTTTCTTTAGCCCACTGAGAATTTCTGCTGAATTTCCAGATTGTGACAGCCCCTCCTCCTCACTTGAAAAGCATGGGAGGTTTGCTTACACTTCCCAGGAGTGGCTTTTAGTGTGAAGTCGCACTGGGACTATTGGTCCTTCTATGAAGGCACGTCAGGACTGACCTCACCTTCTTCACAGCGAACTTTCCTTGGGTCAGTGGTATTGATTTTGTTGCTCTTGTCCTATGCAGCACTCTTCTTGACTCCCACGTTTTCCACTTCATATTTCTTTGAGGGGACAGAAACCTTAGAAATTATATCAGAACCAATTAAGAGGTCATTCACATGCCTTGATGTCTCAGCAGTACTTTGATGCACTTTTCTGTGATGTCTTTCAATTTATAAACAAATTTTATTGCATATATATGAATATATGTTGTATAATATGGAAGGAATTTATGCAAGGGCAGCATCTTTCTAATTATAGCTCGAAACTAAGTGTTTGAGAGCTTTGGATGATACGGACTGTCACTTATTTTGGTCTTTATTAGCTGTTTGTTTTCTTAGAGCCTGCTGTAAGTTACAAGGTGTCTGCATCTGAAAACTTGGCTTTAGTTGGAGGCAGGGAGAGGGTAGTGCACTGTGTCCCTTCACTGATACATTCCCATAGGAAGAATTACACAATAATTATTTTTCCTGTAGGGTTTCTCCTACATTTCCAGAAAGAAATTACTGAGGCATGAATGCTGTGAGAATGGAATTGGAAATAGAGATTGCAGATGAGTAAAATGGTTAACAGTTTTGTTTCATGATGAATTATCAAGGATTACAGGCAGCTGTCATTTGAAGTACTTTAACTTCATGCTGAATACCTCAATAGTAACACATTCCATTGGTTATTTAAAACTATTGCAGGAGCAAGAGAAAAGCTAATTCATAAAGTGAGTGGTGACTCTCCTTTGGCCTTGCAAGTCAAGCAAAGAGACACATGTTGTACTCTGTAGCAGCAGAAATAATGCAGCTAGGCTTTTTCAGTCACTTTTAGTATTGTCTGCAGTACCAGTGCATGGGGTTTGAAACTGGAAGCTTTGGATGAGTGGAGCAAGTAGAAAGTAATGAAATCTTAGCAGGGTGTATTGGCTGGGTATCTTCTGTGCAAATCCCATTCCTGTGTATTGCATCAGCAAGGAAAGATGTAAGTCTCATACTTTTACTGTGAGTCCATGAGTTATTTTCTTTCAGAATCCTTGCTGGAACTGGCAAGTGTTCTTTTCTAGCATTTCTAGTTGAGAGTCCAAAAAAATTGTTCTGCCTGAGCATTGCACCATTCTTGTGCCTGCCATTTGCTGGCCAGATACCACAGCCAAGGGGGACTGGCTGCAAAAACCCAGCTGCAGCTCTGTCTTAAGGGTACTGGAGACAAAAAATACATCCTGTTCTCACTGAGACGTGTCTCAGATGGAGATTGGTTTTTGTATGATCTCCTTGAGGGAGAAATAAGTTTTGTAATTCTGTTACCATCTTTTTTCTCTTTCCTAGGATATGATGGAGCTCCTAGAAGAAGATCTGACCTGCCCCATTTGCTGTAGCCTGTTTGATGATCCTCGTGTCCTGCCCTGTTCACACAATTTCTGCAGAAAGTGTCTGGAAGGAATTCTTGAGGGAAATGTGCGAAACGTGCTTTGGAGGCCATCCCCTTTCAAGTGCCCCACATGCAGGAAGGAGACTCCTGTCACTGGAGTCAACAGCTTGCAGGTCAACTATTCCCTGAAAGGTATCGTGGAGAAGTACAACAAAATCAAAGTAACTCCAAAAATGCCTGTGTGCAAAGTGCACAGCGGGCAACCCCTTAACATTTTTTGCCGGACAGACATGCAGCTGATCTGTGGGGTTTGTGCCACCCGTGGCGACCACACAAAGCATGTTTTCTGTTCCATTGAGGAAGCTTATTCCCAGGAGAAGCGGGCTTTTGAAACCTTGTTTCAGGGCTTCGAAACCTGGCGTTGCGGAGATGCCCTCTCACGGCTGGATACCTTAGAGACCAGTAAGAGGAAAGCTCTGCAGATGCTGACGAAAGATTCTGACAAAGTGAAGGAGTTCTTTGAGAAGCTGCAACACACGTTGGAGCAGAAGCGAAATGAGATCCTGTCTGACTTTGAGACCATGAAGCTTGCAGTGATGCAGGCCTACGATCCGGAAATCAATAAGCTGAACACGATTCTACAAGAGCAGCGGATGGCTTTTAACATTGCAGAGGCCTTCAAAGATGTGTCTGAACCCATTATATTTCTGCAACAGATGCAGGAGTTCAGGGAAAAAATCAAGGTGCTCAAAGAAACTCCTTTACCTTGTTCCACTGTGGACATCAGTCCCACAATGAAGAGTTTTGATACCAGCCAGTGGAATGGAATAAAACTTGTTGATGTGGACAAACTTTCCTTGCCTCAGGAAAGCAACACTTTCAAATTCAAGATTCCCTCTGTCTTTTCACGCAGATTTATAGTGAACTCTCTTATTTTCTTGCTCATTCTTGCTGTCACCAGAATGTCCTTTGTGGAGTCAGTCATTGACAATCTCCAGTGCTGGAAATCTCAGTTCCTTACAATTTGCTTGTCCTATTTGGCAGATACCGTGGAGATAGCAGATCATGCAGTCTTTTACTGGGAACAGATGACAGATGGAGCCTCACTTTTAAGAGAAAAGTGTAAAAACTATACGTTGGTTGTACTGGATAACGTTGCGCAGTTTGTGTGCAAATATAAACTGTTGTGAAGTGTCTGCTGGAATATAAGAACTAAGAGAGATCTGGGGAAGAAAGCATGGAACTTCTTAAATTAATTGGTCTTTTCAGACTTCCAGTGAAAACATTCAAAGATTCAAAATGATTCCAAAACATTGATAATGTTCACATAGTTTGAGCACTGCTAAACCAGAAAATGAAATGGAGCTTTGAAAAACACTTTGTGGATTCTTCTTTCAGTGGTGATTACGGGAATATTACTCACTGTAAATCATTTTTCTTACCAAAATATAGGGCCAAACTGTATCTTTAGTTTGATGTTAATGTAACTGTAGAATAAGATAAAAAAATGTAGTTTAAAAAAAGAATTCTAACTGGGAGATCGTTTGGAAAGAGCAAGAAGAGTTGTGATTGAGGTGAGCACTGTGCTGACAGGTTTGCTGAGGACTGCCCTTCCAGTGCAAAATGCAGTGCATCATTCACATTCTGGAACCAGCTTCTATCTGATGATGTTGTTTCTCTTTGAAGTAGCTATATGTTCTGGTTTGGTTTTGTGGTTTGTTTTTGTTTTTTTTTTTGTACAACCAAATGTTGTAATTACCCTGTGCATTCAGATTGTGTGTTCTATACAAAGATGCATCTTCAGGGCAAGCATAAATTCTAGAGGTAATGATAAGAGCAAGCTGCAAGATGGTATGTGCTTTGCAGATAGTTCATACTTTGCAGTTTACTTTTCCAACATCAAATTGTTGGGGTAGCTGGGCTGGTTTGTTAGATCCATGTTTCTCTGAAGCCATGCTTTCTTAAAAACTGGCCTTAACATAAAGAACTTAGTGCAGTGAAAGGTGTGCAGGGTTCTGCCACAGGAAGGCAGCTTGGACTCTAGCCCTGCAGAGGTGGCAGCTACAGCAGCTGCTCTCCTGTCCCTCTCTGCCTCTCCAGATTGCAATTCCAAAAGCCAGGAAAAGTGATTGGGTGATTCCTGGAACAGGTTGTATGATGCAGCAGGTGTATGGATGTTGGTGGTGTTTGAAGAACCTTGTACAGGTTCTTCTGCTGTTATTGTATTTTTGTGTATCCCATTTCAGGAGCTAATTGAATTTTCTGGTTGTATTGACTTGGCCTTACATTTTAAAGGGAACCTTAAGCTTGAGTTCTCTGAAGTGCCCTTCTTTTGGAGCATATGGTACTGAAATGTCTTGCCTGAAGCTCATCTAACCTCTTTTTGTAGTGGTCCTATGAACAGCAGTGTATGGAACGAAAATGTTGAACTGGCATTTCTAGAAGACAAACATAACGTGTGCCATACTTTGGGAATATTTGTTGGCCTCTCTCAAGGTTTCATAAGTTGTGACAGTCAATTCACTGTATTCCAGTAGTCCTTGCGAGCTGTTCATTTCAAAAATAAAACGTAAAATGCCAAGAATCAAAGTTTCCAAGCAACCAAACCCAGCAAACAAAACTATTGTACATGATATTTACATCTTTGTTGCCTGGGAATGCTGTTGCTGCTCCACACCTCACTCCAAACACTTGCTAAAAGCACGCAATGGTTCTTGCAGCTGCCTTGCCGTTTAGGAAAGATCAAGTCACAGACATGTAGATCAGAGAACTGCAATTCCTGAGTGGCTGAGGTAGCCATGAGTAGTCGAGAGGTGATTGTTCTGAGTGTGGGAGGTGTGAGATTTGTAACCCGGGCTTCTACCTTGCAGCAGTTCCCCGAGTCCAGGCTAGCACGGATGGTGAATGACAGTGACCGGGAATTTAAACTGGTGAATGGAGAGTTTTTTGTGGACAGAGATGGAGCTTTGTTTAGTTACATCATGGACTTCTTGAGGACTCTCCAGGTGTCCTTACCAGCTGATTTCTCAGACTATCAGAGGCTGCAGAGAGAAGCAGAATTCTATGGACTCTACCCCCTGGCGCATGTCCTGAGCCAAGAACACTTGCTGAAGCCGAAGCCGGAGGTCTTGGAAGTGCATTTTTCTCTCCAAGAAATGCAGGCCTTTTTCCGGATCTTTGGTTCCTGCAGTAGCACCATTGAGGCACTGGCTGAGCAGATCACTGTGTTTACAGGGCAGCAGTCAGGACAGGGCTGGAATAGCCCTTTTCCTTCTCAGAAAACACTCATTCCACTTCCTTTGGAAAGACCCTCTCATCATGATATGGTTTTTAAGTGTGGTACTGAGTATTCTGCTGGTGACCAGTTTGTGGCCAGGTACTGTCCCTAGAGTGACTTCTCATTACAGACGTGTCTTTGTGGCTTCCAGTTCATGAAGTGCACGCTACATACTAGCAAAGCTCATTTTAAAGAAACCGAAAGAAAAGAAATATGTTTCCTTCTTTCTGTTCAATGTTATCTTTTTCTAGTTCTGAAACACCCAGTTTAATTTGTTACACTGATTTGCCTGTTCTTTAGCTTTCTAAAATACTGATCTTGGTGTTTGTTTATGAGCTCTCTTTGGTTTTTCTCTCTCTGCCATTTCCTGCCCACTCACTTTAGAATTTCACAGTATCACCTTCTGGAGAACATAAAAAATGCAGTAAAATGAGGCAAAGTAAAGAAGTAAAGTACTGGGGGTACTTTAAGTTCTAAAATATCCAGTAGCTTATGGTGCAGAAGGCTTTTATATGGAAAACAGGGAACAGAGAATGGCTAGAAGGGTTAAAAACTCCAGTGCAACTGAGACATCATTTCAGGGACTGGAAAGCTTTTGTAGAGCGTTTTATAAGGAGGAGGGAGAAGAGTCATTCTTAACTATATGCTTCACAGTGGGTTTTCTTTGACTTCAGAGACAGGTTCTGTTTTTATTAAGATAACTGTGTATCAGTAATTTTTGTGATAGCATTATTGTAATCTAATGACTACTTAGGTTTTTTAAACTATCTTTTGCTGGATGTCTCTATTGTATGGAGACTTGTTCTTACTGTATAAGAAAATGTTAACCTAATTTGTCCTCTGTGGCTATTAGAACATCTGGAATTTTATGGAAATTCAATTGAAATACTTCCAAAAGGGTTCTTCTATTTGAATATATGAACCAACACAGAAGTCTTTTGATTATTTTTTTAAAGAAAATAAAATCTATCTTTCTTCCAGCTTTCTTTGGCTAAGCAAGTAGAATAAAAACTACTTTGCAATTGTGAAATCGGTCAATATATGTGACTTTTATATATATGTGTGCCAAACCTTAACTTTGTGACATATTACTAATTTTAATGGATTAGCAATTGGTTGAGTAGGTTATGGCAACTTAAGTAGTGGGGAAATTATTTCTGATTTTTTTCATTTATATCTTCAGACTTGGTAAAAATTTCGCTCTGCAGATCAATAAAAAAACCTATCTTGAGTAATGAAACAAGTTAAATTTGATTATGTTGCCTTGCTGAATTTCTGCCTCCTCTATCTCCTTAATCTTTGTGGTGACATGGACTTTTTTGCCTTTCTTGTGTTTTCCATGAATATTTGGTGTACTTGCCTGTGAACTGTGGAACAGTTTCACCCGTCAGTTTATATATTTTGTAATGGTATTTTTACCTGACTTCTGCTCCTCAGAATGTCTGGATAGATTCTTACACTGTACTTTATATCAAATAAAATCATTTGAGGCCATGTGAAAATGATTTTCATATTTGTTACTACATGACCTGCTGTACAAAGTAATTTGCAATAAATGTCACTGTTTGTAGAGAGAGAGATCCTGTGTGTTGGAGTGATGCTCTTGGGGTGAACGTGACTCTGCTGTCCATCATTTACTCTTACCTGAAAAATGCTGCAGCATTGCAGAGCCTGCTGCTCCCTTCTTCTCTGTTAAGTGAGACAAGATGGGGTTGTCACAGATATTTCTTAAGGAAGTAAGTTTTGTGGCAGGGGAGGGTGTGAAAGAGAAGCACTTCTTCCCCAGCACATAAATGGATGAACTGAGAATTACTCTTAATGAAGGAAGGAGTCCAGTTGTCCTTAAAGGAGTAAAATAATATCTGGAACCTTGACTGGTGTAAGCACAGTGCAGCTGTGCTGATCTATGCTGTCAAGAAGTAGTTAAAGTGTGTTGTAACTGCCTTTTTTTTCCCCTGATTTTAGGTATGTTTCCATAAAGCCTGATAATAGAAAGCTGATTAATGGTACTAATGTGCTAGGCCTGCTGCTTGACACTTTACTCAAAGATGGATTTCGCCTCATAAGCACCAGGACCGTCACCAGTGAAGAGAAGGTTGAATGCTACACTTTTGAAAGGATGAAGAGGGCAGGAGGCCTTGCCATCATGGTGAACCAAACCCCAGGGAGCTCTGGGGTAGCACAGGCAAGGAGAAGCCAAGTGCAAAAAGGGAAATAAAGACTTTTTCTTCCATCTTTTGAACGTAGGAGAGGGATGTATCAGCACTAGTGGCTTTTTTTTTTTTTTTTTTTTGCTTTGTCTTGTTTGAAACTGCAGCTATTGAGGGAAGTAATACATTTACTTTCAAGTATTTGGGGAAAATATTGCAATCTTACTTTTTACTGCTTCATCCCCTCTTTAAGTAAAGAAGCCCAGATTCAACACTGGGTTTGTGGACCAGATTTCAGCATTTCCAAGAATTGTTTCTGCTTTTCCTTGTGGCTAAAATTTACATAAGGACTCACCAAGCATCAGCCATTCCTTCTAGGAAATTGTTTTCATGTTCTCTGCTAATCTGCAAGTAGATTTTAAAAACATGATAATACATGAAGAAATAACATCTTGATGCAACTGTCATCTCAAGAGTTTGGAGATGTGGCTGGAGGAGGAATGCAAACCCCAAGGATCATTTAGTGCTTCCATTCACTGACTCTGACAGTTGGCTGAGAGCAGTATAAAGGCAACATCCTGAGCTGTGCTGCTGTGTGGCTTTGTGAAAGCCATTGCTGAGGTCTGTGAAATAATGTGTGACTCTGTCTTGCAGAACACTTCTGTCCTCTCTTCCCACTCTGGTGGCATCTGCTCTTTGGTTCTGAGAATTAAATGATAAAGATCTTTGTGAAGAGAAGGTCAGTTAATTTTTAGTGCTTTCACCATAAAAAGGATGAAAATGTGATAAATAGCCCTTCAGATGAAAGGGTTCATACA